GTTTGATGGGTCAATAGGTAGAGTCCAGGCGCGGGAGCTGCCTCCATGGCGTCGGTAGCATTGGTGCTCAGCACGGAAAAAACAAGATCGACGGAAAACAAATCAAGGGAAAGAAAGTAGAACATTTAACCAGATTAGCAAACAAAAACGAACCGGTTACAGTTACAGATATAAACTTTTCCTTTGATTCACAGCGATGTACCGTAATTTTCAGCAACGTCAGGAATGCTCACAAAAGTCTTTATTACAGCTATCGATACAAAATAATTCGTTACTAACTTCGTCAAGATACATAATTTGTCAATTAATAAAATTAAATTCATTGGATACCTGCTCAAAACACAGTTTAAATGTGTGAAATCCAGCGTCTCTTAAATTATGTAAGTGTTGCTGAACGTCTAGGCATTGAATTGATGATGAATTTTGAGAAGCACAGGTCAAGAAATGTGGTGTTCTTATTTCATCCGCGTTTCTCGTATTATATCTATGACTTTATCTTACAATTCGATCACACAAACATCGAGGCAGCAAATCGTCAACTATTTTAAAACTAAACACCATAGTCAAATATTCAACTCTTTGCTACATCGACAACCATTTTAAAGCGTTTAGCATCAAATTTGAGGAAGTGAATCTATTACTTCTCAAAATCAAACGCATTATTTACTCTGCTTGCGCTGTAATCTCGATATATGTGTTGCATTGGCCTAAAAAAATGGAAGAGCAAAAGTCTAAATGCGGAGGGATGATTAATTGGTAAAGCTGTATTTGACAGGTAATAGAAATAGAATTCCCTACTTCTAGGTAATTTTCTTGATAACATTGTCAATTTGAGAGTTGAACTTAAGTTTGCCATCAATATTCACGCCAAGATATTCAGTCTCTCGAACGCGATCAATAGCCTCATCATCAATTACAACGGAGACGTTCCCATTTACTAGATTCGGTGAAACTACCATGAATTTAATTTTACTTATATTCAACCTCAATTGCTTGTACTTCTACCATCTGCTTAGATAATGCAAATCTTCATTCAAGAGTAGAACGGCATCATGTAAATCCTTATAGCGGCGCCGGTGGTGTAGTGGTAAGCGTGATTGCCTCTCACCCCAGCAGGCCTGGGTTTAATCCCAGTCGGCGCCGCCGGGATGTTCTGAGGCATAACATCTCTGATCACGGAAGTAAAGCCGTTAATCCCCGTTAATCATGTAAATCCTTAGCTGCAATGAATAGCACAGTATCATCTGCATAAAGATTAATGTCGCAAAATCGTAAAACACGTTGCATGTCATTAATATACATAATAAATAAAAGAGGCCCTAATACATTTCCCTGGGGCACTCCCCACGAGATTGGAAACTTAGTTATGAAAAACAGTCCGCTTAGTCCTGTCACACAAATAGCTTTCAAACCATTTCTATGTAGTACTCGTAACTCCAAAGCGCTTGATTGATCGTAACAATAAGGGCCTAGAAATTATTTCAAAAGCGCGTTTAAGATCCAAAAAAAAAAAGCAACAATCATATCTTTACGCTTCAAGTTATCTTTGCACTTCGCGAATACCAAGTGACTCATGTCCTGTCTGCATGCCGCCTATTCTCAAACTCTGCTATTGGAATAAGTCCTGTCAGCGAGCTTGTATTGACAGAAGCTATCAGAACACCCGAGTTCGAGTATTTGGATTGGGACAGGGGAAATTCCAAGTTAAACGTACATTATTACTACGAAGATAAAAAAATAAAATAGCATTCTTGGGGCGTTTTGATTTTTCTAAAAATGTCGGAAAAGATATAAAAAAAACCAAAAAAAAAATCGCAGTATTTCCTGGGATTTACAAGAAAATTAGCGTGCAATTTTGAATTGTCTAGAGGGTATCCCAGAAAGTATAAGCACACTTTCAACTCGTTGCCATTTCTACTCAGATGAAGTTTATCGGCTGTTCATCGATTTGTGTTGTTGTTTACTTATTGCTCAACAAGTTTGTGTGCGCAAAGTCCTTTTTTAAACAAAACTATCGAAATGCGAGGCATTTCCCCGGAAAAGCACAAACAGATCGTGCACAAATGGTGCACTACTCCCAATCAGTAAGGAAGTTGGCGAAAATTGTGGAAGTAAGTATCGGAGCAGTCCAAACCACCATCCGGAAATTCGGTGAAGAAGTTACCTTCGAACACATCGAAATTTGACCGTAAACAGGGACCGGTGGACCGAAAAGTGCCACTGTTCGATATTTGGCGAAAAAACTGAGAACATCGAAAAGTTACGTCCAACGTACCAAGGCAAGAAACGGGTTGAAAACGTTAAAGAAGCAAAAGAAGCCGAAACGGAGTCAGAAACAAGCCGCATCCGTTTAACCGAGGGCTCGGAAACTATTTGATAGCCTACTGTGTGGAAAATTGGCATGTGTTATCATGGACGATGAAACATACGTCAAATTCGACTACAAGACGCTTCCGGGAGACGAATACTACACAGTCCATGATGGTCAGGAAGTTGACGATGCCAATAAGTCAATTTGTACCGACAAGTAAGAAGTGATGAGAGTGTCAAATTGTCAAAGCTATTTGTGACGAAGGAGACGATGAGCAATGAAATTTACGTACGGGAGTATTTGAATCGGCGTCTGAGGCTTATGATCCGTCAAAATGATGGCCCAGTACTATTTTGGGCCGATTTGGTGTCAATGTACTACTCAAAAGACAGCTTGATACAAAGCAAACAATGTGCAGAACGTGCCAAAAAAGATGAATCCTCCGAATTGTCCGAAAGCTCGGTCAATCGAAACTTTTTGAACTTTTTTCAAGCAATATCTACGGAAGAATTTGAAAAAGAAGTGGCCAAAATTATCGCCAAGGAATCTGTGCTAAGGCTCATGAGCAGCGGCATGTCAAAACTTCGCTCATTGGCATACGATTAAAGTACCTGCGGATTATTTTCATCCAATTGAAAGAGAATACTGTAGAGAACATACATATATATATGAAACACAAATTTGAGCTCATAAACATAACGTTGATTTATTCCAATAATAAACTTTGCGTATATTTTCTGAGACACCCTATAATTCTTCATTTTAAAAATTGGGGTTAGCAAAAAATTATGCGGTATTTCATTCCCAGATTTTTACCAAATGATATTATACTAAAATTTTCATAAAAACTTGGATTATGTATATAATTTTTCATTAGTTTTTGAAAAACCAAAATGATATTTTTCTTTGGCAACGAGGAGTTTTGCGTTAAGTGTTTTCATAACTTTCTAGAAATATTTAAAGTTTGTTATCGTTTTTTGCCATAAACTTGCAATCCAGAATACTTACACTTAGCATCGAAATTTCAAATTAAGGTACACCGGCCAAGTGGGACCGCGGGGTAAGGGAACGGCATTTTTCAAAACTGAATTCTAAAGTGTTCTTCTCGTTCTTCCTCGAATTTCAAACTTATTGCTTATCGCATATTAGCTTATTGCGTGCTGTGAACTTAGTGTTCTAGATGCACTTCCACAGTTATTAATTAAGAGCTTTCGATGCCAGGTACCATTTTTGCATTAGTATAATTGTGTGGCAAGTACAATCATACTCTATGCCCAGGGAAGTCGAGAGATTTTCCAACCTGAAAAATTCCTAGACCGGACCGGGATTCGAACCCAGCCACCTCCAGCATGGTCTTGCTTCGTAGCTGCGCGTTTACCTCTAAAGTGTAGGTGCGATAAAACAGCAACCTCCCTGGAGCCGAAGACGTATTATCCTACAGCAATGTAATAGTCACTTGGGTTGGGTTATAAAAGATTATTGAATCCACATCATAAAGTGAAACAAAACATCAACAACAAAACTTATTTACATCAACCGAAGTCACGCTGTTTTCGTTATTGTCAACAGTCAACATTAGTTTATATGCATAACAAAAACAGGAACGTATAATAAAAAATGTTTTGCAGGTCACACGATATCTGTCGCTGTTTTAAATAACTCGAAACGTAAGCAAACCGACAAACGAACCAAAAACTAGACTCATGAAGTAGTAGAAGAGGCTGTTCATATACCATGTGGATAGTTTTAGGTAACCATTTGTATGGATGATTGCTCATGGATAGGGAGGGACTGTTCACGTGGAATGTAGACAGCCCCGAACCATTTTTACTTTCGGTAGTTGCTGTCAACACCTATTCCATATAATTAATGTTGATCAACTCAAGCGTCATTTTTCAAATCAACGTATCTGATTTTGTAAACAATAACGCCAATCGACGATTTGTCTTAACTGCTAAATCACCCACGCAAACTAACACGACCAGTCTTTCCTATACCAGCTGGTGCCGTTAGTTTGTGTGAGTGAGCTAGCAGTTGCCACAAATCATCGGTTGAAAGTTATTGTTTACAAAATAAAATTCGTCGAACTAGAACTAGACGCTTGAACTAGTCTTCGCAGGGCTATCCAACATTTATTGCCCAGCTATTTTTTGCTTTGCTAATCAATGTAAGTTGACACAACGTGGTCCTCTTTGCCTTTCAGCAATTGTTTGTTTTCGTTTACACACGCCTTTAGCATTTCCTGTTTATACGATTCGGCACGCTGCAGAAAATATCCTAGAGAGTTTATTTTCAATTTGAATATTGTAGTTTGCTGAGGTTCACATCGTAAATCAGCTTGCAAAATTTCATAACTTTTTTCATCTAACACTAAAAGTGACCTAATCTGAGAATCTTGCATTGTTGGTGAGATCTATTAAAATGAAGTATGCCTATGCCTTTACACAATAGCATAGCAACCAAGGCTTACACCTGCCTTTGCCAGAACGATCGAAGCGTCCTACGACCTTGATTAGTCAACCGTGTCAATCCAGTCTTGATTTTCTTCGGCGTCTCTTGTAAGTATGGCACACATCTCTGTCACTAATCAAATGGTCCGTTCGAAAACCGGTCTCAATTATCCCATCCAAAATCAGCAGTGCACTCACAAAACACTCCCTCGCCCATGATGCAGTCGTTCATAGCTCACCTTGTATAGGCCAACGGCCAATATCACAGAGGCACATAGCCACAGGGCCGATTCTACCTGAATCAAAATCGGATACCGCTGCACAGCTTCATCTGTTGATCACACACGTCATCGTTGGTTTGCGACAGCGCAAAAAAAAAAGACACACCACACAGTTGGGGGGCACATGTAAAAAAAATCGGAAAGAGAAAATAGTGAAATTAGCACAATTCACAACCATGCTCACTGCAATCACTTGAGCTTTCACAAAAATACACGTTGGTGGAAGGGAACTCCGACCGAAATCAATCAAAAATCACTATTCCACACTCACATTCCTCCTCAATTACGAACGGTTCCTCGTGTAGATCGCGCCCGGTAAACGAGGTCACGATGATCACCGACGTGAAGAAGATGGTGCAGAATGCAATGAAGTACCCGTGGAACTTCATAAAGTACCGAAAGACACGATTCATGACGACCGCTTCCGACATGACTGCTGCTAAGTAACTGCTACGATCGACACCTGCGACTCTACGATTACGGCTTAATTCGACAAATTGCGACCTAATGACCGGATACCGGGAACTTTTCGGATGTTGTTGATCGCTCTTAACGATATTTTCGTATGTTTTGATTGCCACACTGCTGTAATGGGGCAGAGAATAACGGGGGATGTTCAAATTGAAGCAGAAGATCAGTCGATCAGTCAATCGGTGTTCCAACGACGCGCGCGTATGATCGTCTGACGGCGACTGAATGAGCCACCAGACCGGGTCCTCCAACTGCTGCTTGTTGGAAGCTTTTTTTCGCTTTGCACATACATAAGCACAGGTGGCTGCCTATTCTACGGACGGATGAATGTATGAATGGCGCAAGTGAAAATGTAGCAAAATATGGTACGAACATACTTATAGAGCCACGAGAAGCGATTCATGCAAGCAGTGGACGATCTAGAAGAAGTTTGAGCACAGAGGATAGTGAGAAAGATTGGATGGTTGGTGGTGATGTAAATTCAACATTTTGATGTGATTTTGTTTTTAATTATTTGACCATTTTTACTGTTTTATATGATTGACTTCGACTGGCATAATTATTAAATTTTTGCAAGATCCGTTTGAAGATTCTAAACATTCACTTGTTTTTTTTTCTTTTTTGTTTGTTTATTGTTTAAAGTGTATTTGTCGTCAATAAGTGCAGACGGGTTTACAATAGTTGCTATTGTAGTGATAAGCAAATGACAACTTAGAATCGAGAACAACACCTAAATCTCTATCTTGCTAACATCTTTGAACTGGTTTCTGGCCTAGAGTAATTGTGTCATGAAAAATAGCATACTTTCAAAACGACAAGCACCAGGTGTAAAAAATGGTAATTTCATGTTGGAATGTTTGAATGTCTTTATTTATCTCCATGGAAAGTTTCATGTCGTCTGCATATTTCGAAACATGCACACTAATCCAGCATTTATGTGTTCGGTATTTTTTTTCAACTGGGCTTGAACCGTAAAACAAATCTTTTACTGAATATTCAGTTCAAATTAGCGGAATTACTGACATTCAGCAAATACAAACTGAACTTCGATAATGTTTATTGTAAAATACTGAGCACAGAATTTGTAATTACTGAGAAAGCCAGAAAGTTCTAAATTTTCTGTATTGTACGAAAAGTCAGTAATTATAATTACTGTACACAAAGTAATCATAGATTTTTCCTAGACATTTGTCATAATACTCAACGTATTTTACTGACCATGAATTATAAAATTTTAAGCTGTCATTTTTCGCAATCGTTATTTTAGCTTTAGTGAAAATCCAGAAGCAAGTATTTTTTCCACGGCAGTGGAGTCAAGTCGAAGTCGGAGGCATTTTCGAGGTATCTGATGTCCAAATCAAAGGTAATATTTCTATTATACCGATAAAACACCATTGACAGTAGCTCCGAGCCCGGAACCTACCAAAAATGCCGCCGGCTCCAACCCAACTCCACAGCAAACATTTGAGAAAAGTTTGTTTTATCACGGATTGAAGTAAGCTCGACGTTGCTATTGAATAACTTGCTATAATTTCTAATAATTCTTTTTCAAGGCTACGATCCCAACTCCCAACAGTAAACATTGAAACCCCAGCCCTGTGTGGGAAATTATGCGAAGACAACACTGATGGTGTTTATTTCCTGGAAGAATATCACTATCCATCAGTGCAAATCCTTAACTGCTGAAAAATATAATTGAACAATTCTGTGCAATTAATAATTATTGAATTGAAATTAGTATTTTTCTCCCAACACTAACAAAACTTTTTTAACTGGCTTAAACCTGTTAAGCAGCTGAAAAGTAAGGACGCTTGATTGACTAATCAAAGCAAAGCCAAAACTGGTCATGCGACACCTAGTTTTAAGATGCCCTATTACTAAAATGATGATGTACTAAAAAAATGTCATGCAATTTGACAGACATCAAAACGTCATAGCCATTTTCACCCACTCGCCATCTGTGAGTCAATATTCACTTTGATTCTTCAATTTCTTTCGCATTCCGTGTCCTATCCCGTACAGCACGTAAAAACGTCATTACTTTTCAACTGATGCGTACCAGGCTTAATATAGCCGAATGCAACTCGAATGAATTACCAAACGTACAGTAGTTTTTGACAGTTTGACTTAACTGATAGTTCGGTAACGAAAATTAATGCTGTAGCGATTACTGGGTGATCCACAATTCAAAAACCCAGTAAAATTTTACCGACCTCGGTAATCTAGACTAAGTGTGTGAAGCAATTTCAAAATGTGTTCTATATTGTTGACAAATAAAGGACAGTAAAGGGCCAACCAGTGTGAACCTCATGGCACACCTGATGTGATATTAACTATGGTAAACAAATTTTCATCAAATCTTACTCTTTGCGTTCGCTGTGATAAATATGACTCGATCCATTTCAGTAACCTGGGGTTGAAACCCAACTTGGATCGCTTAAAAAGCAAGAGCGGTATGTCATCTGTCAAGTATATAACGTTTGAACATAGATTCCTTTATGCATTACGTTTAGAGAAAAAGTTTCGAAATGTATCATGTTAGTAGCTGTGGATCTTCCCTTAGCAAACCGACGTTGTTTGCTAGTAATTAAAAATATTGTGAGAACACATTCTTCATTCCTTTATTTAACGTCGGTCTCTGTTCCGCAATCGAGTGCCAATCACCGACGGACATCGATTGCCATCCATTGACGGCAATCGAATGTGCAGGAAGCCAGCTTCCACACACCTGCGTGGGATATCGCACCCATTCAACACACATGGAAAACAGCGTTACTTCCCTTCCGAAGGAAGACGTGACCATAGATTTTTAATGCCGCAAAAAAATCCCATCGACCTCGGCTGGGATTGAACCCACACCCATTGGGGTAAGAAAGTAGTCACGCTTTCCACTACACCACAGGCGCCCTATGTGAGAACACAACAACGAATAGCTTAGAAATTCATGATATTATAGCAATTCCAAGCAGGGTTACTTCCACTCACTTGCTATAAAAACATGTATTTCGGAATTATAAAACCATGAAATAGTATAATGCTAATAAGTACTAGTTAGTAACAAGAAGAGGGTGTAAAGTATATGTTTGACACATAAAATCTGTCAATATTGCTTTCAGTGCGTCACAATCAGCGATTTTACGACTCGTGAGCGCTCACTCTGAGTGAACGCTCACGAATCATAAGATCGCTTATTGTGACGCTCTGAAAGCGAAATTGACAGGTTTTATGAGTCAAACACATACTTTACACCCTCTTCTTGTTACTTACTAGTACAACATATCAATATAACATCTAATGATTGCATAATTCCGAAAAATATGTTTTTATAGCAAGTGAGTGGAAGCAACCCTGATTCCACGGTGCTTCGATATAATACCTTTTCCCACTTTTAAAAATTGGGATTAACAATGATTCCTTCCAAATTGAAGGAAGAACACTGGACTCCAGACAGAAATTAAACAGCTAAAATAAAGGTTTAGCTAGCTCCTTTGACAGTGACTTTAGAAATATAGGTGGTAAACCATCTGGTCCAGCACCCTTTGAGCATCCAAGGTTACAAGAGCACGAATGATTTCATCGACGGAAAAAATATCGACTCCAGTAATGTCCACATTTTTTTCTTGGAGATATGAAAAATATTGATAATCTCACTCGTTTTCATCATGAGTTGCATAAATGTCCTAAAAAGCATCCTCAAATAAGTTACCGATCTCATTAGACGTGTTGCCAGTTCTGTTGTTGAATGGCATTTTTGATGGACAGCTCCTGGAACCACTGTGGCGCAATTTTCGCTGTACCACTGTTTGGTGGCTTTTGAGTAGTAGCAGCTTGCCAAGTCCGGCCAGAATAGGTATTTGCTGCTCCAGAAAAGGCAGAAGTCTCTTCAGACAAGGGGAGTTGGAGATTCTTTTACATTCTTCGGGGGCACTCTTCCGGTCAACCGAGGTATACAATTCCTGCCCAAGAATTTGATCGAAAACTGCCAGGAGCGGATAGACCGGGATTTTCGTTTCGAGCGTGCAGGATCAAATCGCGGCGTGCTTGCTCCGGTGAAACCATGATAAAAACAAATTAAATTAACCTGACAACCAATGCCTACTGTGATTATATACACTAGCAGAATGATTCAGAAATTTTTTGAAAAATTTGACTCAAAAATGCCTCAATTGCAGCGTTTTTAATGTGTCCGGATTTCTTTATGATCAACCTTTACTAGACTGAGAGTTTCAACCTCTACACACTTAAATTTTTTCGCCGAGTTTCCAACAGCCGAGTAGTTCTGCAATTTATTGTGCTGAAATTAGGTAAAGCAATTGCCGAGACTCAGCTAACAAATAAAATTTTGCTGAGATCTCAGCTAACAAACAGATATTTTGCAGAGATATCAGTAAAAGTAAACCCAATGCTTCGACGTCTACCTTTGTCCGTGAAGATGACACTGCTAGAGCTGCTCAACCGGATCTGGCGTAATGGAGAGTTTCCCACCAGCTGGCGAAATGCAATCGTGGTGCCCATTCCGAAGCCAAACTGCCTCGATACCGGACCCGCTGCGTTCCGTCCAATCTCGCTCACCAGCTGCATGGCGAAGCTGCTTGAACGCATCATAAATCGACGACTGATCACCGAGCTAGAGTCGAGCGGGCGACTCGACAAACGACAGCACGCTTTCCGTGCCGGGCGAGGCACCGACACGTACTTTTCCGAGCTCGAGCGAACGCTTCCAAGCACAGACGAGCACTGTCTGATAGCATCCCTGGACCTGTCGAAGGCTTACGACACCACCTGGCGGTGCGGCATAATCCGCACTCTGAGGTCATGGAGAATACGTGGTCGGATGCTGAACATGATGAAAAGTTTCCTCTCGGAGCGAACGATCCAGGTATCCGTTGGGGGGCATATGTCTCGCCAGTATCCGTTGGAAAACGGAGTTCCGCAGGGCTCTGTCCTGTCAGTGACGCTGTTCCTCATCGCGATGCAGC